GAACAGGAACAAGTTTTTTTTTTTTTTTTTTTTTGGCATTCTTCACCTGTTAGACTGGAATGTTCCCAACCTCTTAAATCGAAACAGCCAGTAGCCAGAATCTGATTTGCTTCAAAAATGAATTTCTTAAGTTCATCTTGACTAGTTACTGAAGTTATGCAGTTATCCACATAGAATGTATTCCTGAGTTTTTCTACGGTTTCAGGAAAATGGCTTTCGTTTTGTACCAAATGATAATCTAGAATGGCAGCTAGCAAGTAAGGGCTGCTCGTAAGTTCAAACACTACTCGGTGACGATAAATTTTTTGTTTTCTTTCCTCATAATCTTCCCATCATATGAATCTAGGAAAATCTTGGTTTTCTTTGGCCACAGATATCTGTAAAAAGGCCTTTTTATATTTGAAACTGCACCAATTTCTTTCTGACGAAATCTCATAAGTAATGGAGGAATTTTTTTTTGATAAGATTTGGTCCTGTTTCTAGACAGTCGTTGAGCAAAAGTGAGTTCTTACTTCTACACGAAGCATCAAATACAGGGTGTACCTTTGTAGTAGAATTTCCTTTAAAAATACCTCTATGAGGCAAATAATGACAAGGATTTTCCAATTTATTATCTGGTACTTCTTCGATGATAGTTTCCTGTAACCATTCCTTAAATACAACTTCATAGTCATCGTATTTTGCTTCTTTAAGAAGTTTATGAGTAGTAGTTATGCATCTTTCTTCAGCTATATCTTTGTTTTCACTTAACGTCTCATACGTCTCTAACCAAGGTAGTTTGACGATGTAACGGCCATTTTCATCTCTCTGAATGTTTTTTCGAAAATGTTGAAGAATGGACTGTTCCTTTTCTTCTTTAGTTTTTGTTTCAATAGGATCCTTTATACCTATAGTATCTAATTTCCACAAATCAGCCACAGAAGAATATTTATTCAGTAAAGATGTCACTAAGTAGGATGAAGTTTCGTCAAACCTTTCTTCGGACATATTTCCCATGATAAATAAGTTTTCCATCCTAAATAAGTTTCCATGCAATCAAATTGGATTTCAATGTACATATTCTTTCTGTAAGTATATTACCACAATAATCTGCACCTATTAACAGGTCAATATCAAGACAACCTTCTCCATAGTCAGTGAGCCAAATTTTATTTTCTCTTGACTTTTCCATATAAAGGTCTCTTCTCAACCGAGGAATGTTGTCACAAATGATCTGCTCATCCAGAAACTTTATGTTACAGGATAAGTCCCCTTTCAAAGGTATCAGGTTAACGTCATAAACATAATGCCCCCTTTTCTCAGTTGTAATTCCTCCAAATAGAGAATGAATTAAAATTCTCTTTTCTGTAAACTTCAAACGTAGTTTCTTAACTGTTTCTTTAAGAATGTTAGAATGTTGTGAGCCAGTGTCAATGAGTATACGTACTTGTAGCTCTTTCCCTTTAGTCTTCAGTTTCACTTGTAACGTTTGAAGCAATATTTCATCAGAAGTGCATAAGTTAGACGAACCAAGATCAGACGACAACGTCTTCTCAAGTTCCTGTACGTCACATTTCATCTTATTTCCAGGGAGTTCTGGGCACATCAAAATCGAATGCTTTTTACTGCAAAGAACACATTTGATCTTGGACTTGCAAAATTTAAAATGATGTCCAATTTTTAAACAGACAAAACAGGCCTTTTTGTTTTTTAAAATTTCTTGTTTTTCTTGAAACTTGAGTTTACGTGCAGAAAAGCAATCTTTACTATCGTGCAATTTGCCACAAAATATACAAACATTTTTTCTTTTATTCTCTGTTGTTCCCACAAACAAATCTGCTGCCGTCAGTGGATTACTAGGAACAGAATGCTGTATTTTTTTCCTTCTGAAATTTGTGTTCTTTACTAACAAATCCCTTTGCTAAACAAATACATTCTTCCCCTTCAACTTCAGCTTTCAGGAACAACAATAATTTTTTTAAATTTCTTTCCATAAGCATTTTCTTCAAAAGAATCGAATTTGGTGTTAACTATAGGATTTCTTAACGAAACTCTAAAAATATATTCCGGAATACATGATTCTATGAGAGAGAAAAGTATAACTGAATATGTATCGGATGTTAAGCATATGGACTTCAACACTCTTAGATGTGATTCTAATTTATCATATAATTTCGACGTGTCTAATTTTCTTTTTTCTTCGGTAACATTTTTTACAAGAAGATTTAAAAGTTCGCGTATATAAAATTCAATTAGTAATTCCTGCCTGCCGAATCTTGATTTTAAACATGCAATAGCTTTATCATAATTTTCACATGTCGGTGGGTAACTATCGACAATATCCCAAGCTCTAGAGTCTTCAGTCATACATTGAATTAAATATTGAAATTTATCTTCTTTCTCAATATTTTCATCGTCATGTATTCTTTTGAATTGGCTCCAAAAGGCAAGCCGATCGTTGATTTCCCCCATCAAATTTCGAAAGTTTGATCTCCGTTTTTGAACAGGTGAAGAATCAACAGAACTTTCGGTTTTAGAAATTCTATTTAACTCTTTGGCATCGAAGTCGCTCGTAACGCCCATTCATTCAGGCAACGGCAAACCGCTCCAACGCCTCGTTTACTTTCTACCTAGTTCTTTCCCCTCCATGTTAGTGTATGGCTCATTGGTTTCGCGAGTTGTTAAAAGACATGTCAATCATTCTTTTGAAGCAAATAAAGGAGAAATACGGAAAGCTATTGCCGTTCACAGGTGCAATCCGGCCCTAAGGTGAAACTGCACACAATGGAAGAAACTGCAGAAAAAAAACCTCCAAGAGCAAGCAACGGGAAAGGAAAACTATTCCAAGACAAATTCGTAAACACGGGCGTTTTCGATGTTTGTTGAAAACAGATTTGTCGTCTCTCGATGTGAAAGAGTTAACTACATTTCTATGTTTACTTCCGCCTTTACGAAATTTTCATTATATTCTTCTATTATCGCGTACTCGTTCTGATACTTTTTATCATCTTTATCTTCGAATAATAAAGATTTTATTTCCTGATCTATTTCAGTTAGCTGACAATAAATTCTACGTAAATTAGCAAAGTTATATCTAATGCTCTCTTCTTTAACATTATCTGCCTTTAATAATTCATTCAAACCATTAAAACACTTTGTGAAGTTAGCTCTTATAGGAGAGCGTTTTTTAATAAATAATTCCATTTTCAGAATAATAGGTAATTCAAAATAACGTATCTTTAATATCACGTCATATGGTCACCACGTTACGAGATTCTACCTGAATTTTGTTCATTCAGTCAGTACTCCATTAAAAGAAATGTAAAGAGAGATTTCTAATGAAGTAATAAAGGCAATCCACCCAATTAATTCACTATAAAACAGGCAATCCACCTTAATGCAAAATCATGGCGCATTTTTGCTTTTATTCTAAAACATAAAAACGATACAATGTTGCCAAACCGTAAAATTGAACCTTTAAAGAAATTACATTTATACAACTGTTGAGTTGCTCGCGACAGTTGTGTTTTGGCGGGAGCGCTGATCATTCGTTCATTATGAATTAGTTCTGGAAGGGATTATTCATCTCTAGTATGCTCCATGCATGTAAAAATACATAGTGGATCTGTAAAGTTTTAGGGGTAGATTCATTAAAAAGGGGAACAAAATTTTAAATAAAAAATTGTTTAATTTTTCATTCTATTTAAGTACATTTTCCCTTTAATGCTATATATATGATGGCATGTTCATGGGCTTTGTGGGTGCCTTCATAGAAATCAGCTATTGTGATACTCTTGAATATCCTAGTTATTTTTTGAATTGTTGTCAAAAAAGGTAGTAAGATCTCTTTTTAAAGCGTAGACTATAGACTACGGATACCAAATGTAGTAAATATGGCAATGATGATTAAGGGTAATGTCACAACTTTTTGTGTTAAATCATTTGATGGTTGTTGCACTGTATGAAAATTTTTTTTTCTGTATGTATAATTGTATTTCTGTATACTGAGTAGTTGTGAGTATTATCAAGTATGTCGCGAGAGTGTATTGTGAGTTGGTGCATCGAGAGTGTGCATCATTGAGGCTGTTGAGTGCATCGCAAGTTATAGCATGGAGAGTCTCGAGAGTACACGAACCAAATTGGGAGTAGTACTTTGCCGTGAACCTGTCTTCCCCGTTATAGCTTTAATAGCATGAAGGCTGTGTTGCTGATTGTTTCAGCATGTTTGTCGTAGTTTTTCGATGACTCTAAACATGTTTTTGGAGCTGTTCTGAGTAATACTGGCTGATAAATTGTGTTTTCATTCTTCACCAAGTGTTTTCATTAATCACTCCAAATCCACGAACCCCTACAGACACAACAATAGAAATAATAATGCATAGCTGCCAGCACTCTTGGTATTTCACGATATCTCCCATTTTTTTTGTTCCCTGCAAAAAGTGAAATTTGTGAAATTAATGGAACTTAAATTATGCAAGTTGTCATTCTCTGAACCCTAGTGATTTTCAACATAACTTTCTATTATTAAATTATATTTCATGTGAATTATCTTAATTTTCTGTAGACATTTATAGAATTTTATTTAAAGACCTGTTTAAAAAGGTTTTCTGAGTACAGCAACCCTGCAGAAATTAATGGAACACAACGAATGGGATAAACTATTCATTCCAGCACAGCTGGCAAGCAGACGGGTCTTCTATTAAAGCTCCTGTACTTCATTTGTTTTAAATGATTCTAGCATGTAACCTTGAGTATTTTATCTCATTTTAACTTTATTTGAAGATTCAACCAATGTTTAATCAATTAATAATCTAATTTCTTTACACCAATATATGATACATTACTAGCTTCCCTATAGTATGTCCATTAATTTTTTTTTTTATTTGCCTTAAAAGTACTTTGATAAATTAAATCTTCCTTTCCCTACACAGGATCTTCGATATATTATATAAAAAATAAGATCAAGTAAATTACTTAGGTTGCTGAAATAATTTTGAAAACTTTTAATATCTTTTTTACAGACAGCTGAAAGTATTATTCGACAGAATAAATCTTATAAAGCTCCTTTGTTTCATGATCGACGCTTGAGGGAAAGGGTAAGTTTTAATTGTTATATTTAATATTGTGTAGTAATGTATAGTACAAAGTCTGAGCAGTGATTCCAGATTTTGAAATTTCCTGAATTTTAGATCATCAATTAAAATCTAGCTAGATACATGTAAAAATTATCAAAGTAAAAATATGAAATAATAAAGCATTTATGGCTGCAAGGGAATCGAAATTTAAAAAAAAAAAAAAAAAAAGGCTCAATATTTGTTTATTTCGTTGAACTCTTCCTTCAGTCCAATTTGTTTAATCTGTTTAATTTTTTCCACTAATACTTTCTCTTTAATTTTATCAACTTGTTCAGCTGAAGAGCTCCAAAGTCTAAGCATAGGAAATCTATATCAAAATAATGTTATTTTGTCTAATTTTTGGTATCGCATTTTCTAAAGCCCCTATTGTACCAAGGCCACTATAGAAAACATACACCAAGTGTGCTTTCACATTGTAGATCTTTACTACAGCTCCAGAAGTCTTTTCAGTGTACGTAGGTAAGTTGAAAAATAAGTTTCCCCTGTCGACTGTGGTCAGAGTTGTGTATGAAAGTCAAAAAATAGAATGAGACATTAAAGATATGACATACCTTTATTTTTCCACATAGGTACCAAGTACATTGAGACATTTATCATATCGCTTGATAAGCTTCAAAAAGCCCTCCAGGAAAAAATCAGGGCTTTGCATATGGAAGAAGCGTTGAACGGCTTGTTTCACTTCAGTATTGCTTCCAAAGCGCCTTCCCCTGAGATTTTTCTTCAAAGCCGGAAATAGATGGAAGTCGCTTGGTGCGAGATCAGGACTGTATGGCGGATGGTGTAGGCGCTCCCAACCAAGAGTTGCAATATGGTTTTGCGTTGCCGTCGCCGAATGTGGTCTGGCATTGTCATCCAACAGCAGAACGCCAGATGTGAGAAGGCCAGGCCACTTTTTCTGAATCGCCTCTTTCAATTTCGACAGGGTGTCACAGTAGCGCGTAGCATTGATGGTTCCATCCTCCAAAAAGTCCAGCAACAAAACTCCTTGGGCGTCCCAGAAAACTGTGAGGAGCACTTTACCTGCAGAGGGAGTTGTCTTGAACTTCTTTCGGACAGGTGATGACGGAAGCTTTGGAAGCAATACTGAAGTGAAACAAGCCGTTCAACGCTTCTTCCATACGCAAAGCCCTGATTTTTTCCTGGAGGGCTTTTTGAAGTTTATCAAGCGATATGACAAATGTCTCAATGTACTTGGTACCTATGTGGAAAAATAAAGGTATGTCATATCTTTAATGTCTCATTCTATTTTTTGACTTTCATACACAACTCTGACCACAGTCGACAGGGGAAACTTATTTTTCAACTTACCCTCGTAATAAAAAATTTAAACTTTAATTTTGATAAGAAAGCTGTAATAATAAAAGCCTGCAAAAATTAACATCCCACTTCAAACAAATTTGCTTGGGGACTTCACTTATTGTTTAGGTCAGATAGAAAAATAGTAACCCTCTCCCAACCACTCAAGGGCCAAAAGTATGATGGCTGCTAACATCAATCAGCACGCTGTCAGTGACCATAGTGTGATTCCCTAATCAGCAGCTATATGAAAATGATGTATAAGAATCTCAGTTAGTCAGGAGAAAAATTGCTTTTGTGAGATACCTGCTTTTCTGAAAGGGGGAAAAGGAAAGAAATTGCTGGTAGTTTAAAGGTCTGGTTGCTAGATCATTATGTATTTTGGACTTTGTATTGTATTAAAATATTATAACCTGTTTGTAATTTCCCTTCTTCCAACTTTTTTATAATCTATTGTAATCCTTTTAATTTATTACTAGAATCTCTTTATATATATACAGGGTGTTTCATAGATCATGGAACAAACTTGGAGGGGGGACGGAGCATACTAAAACATGCATTTTTTGTATAGGAATGTAGGGTCTAAAGTGACGGGTTAAGGCAGGAACGAAAGAAAGAAAAAAAAAAAAGACACGAGAGGAAAATGTGTTTATGTACAAAATCAACGCAAAGTGCTACTTTGCAGCAATACAGTATTCACAATAAATGTTCAAAAAAGGGAACACTAACAGTAGTAGGAACCCAATGACCAGCGAAGACGTGTCTAGAGATGCCTCAGACAGTAGTCAGATACCAATGGCCTGACAGTCAGGAGTGATGGTCTGGAGGGCCATTTCATTTAACAGCAGGACCCCTTTGGTTGTCATCAGCACCTTCACAGCACAGCAGTATATCGATGATGTTCTATGTCCCATTGGGTTGCTTTTTATGTCACACCATCCTGGGCTTATATTTCAGCAAGATAATGCCTGTCCACAGGCAACGAGAGTTTCTGTTTCTTGTCTTCATGTTTGCCCTAATGCTACCTTGGCCAGCAAGGTCGCCGGATCTCTCCTCCATTGAGAATATTTGAAGCAGTATAAGCAGGGCCCTAAAACCTGCTCAGGACTTTGCCAATCTAATGTGCCAATTGGACAGAATGTGGCACAATATGCTGCAGGAGAACATTCTATTAATCAATGCCAAGCTGAATAACTGCTTGTATCAGAGCCAGAACTGGACCATTGCATTATTGATTTACTCAATTTGTGAAGCTCTTGAATAAATCGTTCAGTTTTTCTGAAATTTTAATCATTTGTTTACTGTGCGTGTGCATCACCCCTACCGATTTTCAAAGCTTGAAAAGGAGCAGTGGTGATTTATAAAAATCCTAAGCCAACCATCTCTAGTTTAATCTTTTCTAAATGTTTAGTTTTGCTGTTCATTAACTGTTGTATATTTCTTTTATTATATATGGATATTTTATTCTACTTAAAATGCATACACAAAAACTCAACAAAATAAATTTTCCTACGTCAGAAAAACCAAAATGTGTTTGCCACTTCAACCATTGTTTAAAAATTCTGGCAAATTATTGTATTAAATGCTAAGAACTTTCTTTTCTGGTCATTTTTATTCCAAAGCTGCTTAGACCTTTCAGCCAACTATCTAAAATTTGGAAGGTATGTAAAAGTGTACATGCCACCCACATATCCTTCTTTGCAGCTGCCACAAGCCCTATTCATATAATATTTGGTACTATTCGGTTTCGAGGGCCGTAAAAAATCGCCAAACTATTGTTGATGCCAATGCTGCCAAAAATAATTGCGGCAAGAAAGGAAGTATAATAGTAAATAACTATCTAAGATGGATGTTTTTATTTAGATGAAAGGTTAATTTCATATAATACTTTTTATTATTATAATTTATATAAAAAGGCTAAACATGACTGAATGGAAGCATAAGAGTAAATAACTATTTCAGATCATTTTTATAATTTGTATAAAATTGCTAAACACAACTGAATCGATGCCTGCATCGCTATTTCGCTACCGACTTATCGCTAAAGCATAATTTCATCTCGTTGGTTGTTCAAACATAATTTTCTATAATGAATGATGCCTTTTCTTTGAAAATATTCTCGGTAAAGTGCAGAATCGGTCACTTATTTGTTTGCCGCTTTTTACAAGGGTAAAACAATTGGATTTTTGTCAATGTTTTTTACTTTTTAAGTGAAAATAGGTCGATGTGTACATAGATAAAGGGTGTTGTGCGCAGTGCCATTTTTGTGCAAATCTAGGATTTTTTTTTAAGTGAAAGTAGGTCGATGAGAACATGGGTACCGAGTATGTGCAATTCTTAAAAACGCGTCAAGCAGTGGGTGATTCTGCACTTTACCCAAAATTCTTTTGCCGAATTTTCGTCATGGGCATTTCCCAAATTATTAAATCCATAGGATATCAAAAAAGGATTTAAAAATTAAACTAGTATTTCAATGGCATCTTAAGAAATATAGAATTATATAAACTTACGCAATCTGAAATCAACGCGTACGCTAGATTTGGCGCGCTGTTAAATGGGCGCGTTTGCTAGATTTGGCGCTTTTGCGCATACATTTTCTCTGCAATATTTTTACAGCCCTCAAAACGGAATAGTACCTAATATTTCTCCAGCTTTACCTGTTTGGAGATCAAATTGATGGCTGAATTTAGGCAAATATGTGATTGGAATATACATATATTTATATTTTTAGGTGTGAAGGGAAAATGGTGAGGGCACAGAGGTGGATATATACCAGTGGTCTTATCTCTCTGGCAAATGATGTTTTGTGTACTTTACTCATTTTCATTAGATTTGTTTTTGTGCAGTAATGTAGTTAAGTATGTTTCACATCACTAGTTAACATTTTGAAAAATTTAAATTGAGATAAAATTAACTAAGTGTTCTGTTGATAATTTAGAATTAAAAATAGTTATATGAAAATACTGATAAGTTCCTGAATTTTAAAGTAAAATTTTCTATTTGTATTATATGTTATGGTACTTTTTAAAAGTATTCATCTCACCTTATTTCTCAAGTCATATATACAGTTTTGTTTGTTTGTTACCATCCATTTAACTGCCGAACAGCTGCAAATATATTCATGAGATTGGTGTCTAGGTATAGTAAAGTAACTGTGCGCTACTTGATGAGATAGCTTACAGTGCCACTTTGTGAAAAACGCGGAAGTTAGCCTTCCTTATCTCGAAAACGATACGAGATGGGGAAAAAAAGTGAGTTACAAATTTGTAGAGAATCATCGATTTAGTATGAATTGATACCTTGTGGATATGAATACTAAACATAGAATGCTGAAAACGCACATTTGTTTCTTCACAATTTCCGTATTACAAATGCTTGTGCAAACATGTCACCACTATGCTACAGCATGTAAGATGAAGTTCTAACAAGGGTCCAGATGTACATTTCAGCTAATGGAAAGAAGTGTAAAACATCGAAAATTAAGATAACTTGTGGTATCTAATTGTTTTTTTCTATCTAAAATTGTTTCACGATGTCACAGTTTCGGAAATTGCGAACAAACAAATGTGTGTTTACAATGTTCTATTCTTAACATTCATGTCCATGAGGTCTTTTTGTACTAATTCGACGATACTCTACAACCAAAATTGTAATTCAATTTGTCT